TCAAGTATAAAGTAAAGTAGCACTTTAATTCCACTGAAAATAATAAAATAAACCACCTTTTTTTACTCCTATGCAAAGGTGATTACATATTTAAATACAATAATTTGAACTAAATCGACAGCGCGCAGTAAAGCTAGTTCAAAACTGACATAGTAGCTCTGGAGGAAAGGGAAAAAGGGACAAACACGAAACTCAAAAGTAAGTTTTGAGTTTGTTCTTGCCTTCTCCCACCCCTTGCTCCAAGGTTGCTGTCACATAATCTTAAAACTATGCTCTATATTCCTATAATCGTTTTCACCAGAAAAATTGTAGTAAACAAAAATAAAAAAAGTCCGGTTCCTCGCGGAGCGCTAATAATTTCATTCTTTATGTGGAGAATGAAGATATATTAAGGTGGTATTTTAGATCAGACATGTGTTATCTTATCAAGACGTGCACGTTTCGAACGCCGAAAGCCTCGCTTCCTCCGACAGCCAAGCCTCGGAAGCACTACATCGCGCGCCGTATGAACAATGAGCAAAACTTCCTTTTGTTCTTGGGGTGAAAACGAGCGTGTACTCGTTTTCACCTGACTGAGAAAAGAAATAAGTTCTAAGAAGATTTGGTTGTCGGAGGAACAAGCGATGCTTTTTGTCGTTTGATGCGTGTACGTCTTGATAAGATAATGTATCTAATTTAAAATGCCCCCCCCCCCCCCCCCATATATCTTAATTTTCTACGTAACAGGGAACATTAGTATTACTCCGCTAGGAGTCACACTCTTTTTACCACGGCTCTTCAGGTAAAAACAAGTATTGTTGCGTGCAGCGTTGCCGAAGGCACACTGGCGAGAGTGTGGTCCAGGCAGTTGGAGAGAAGGGGAAGAAAAAAAATTAAAAAAAAAACCCACACTGCTTTGCTCTCCCTCAGAGATTAGCCTGTCACTCAAAATTAGTACAAAATCGACTTCTCTCTCTCTCTCTTTCTCTTGCCCGTGGCTTCCATGGTACTGCGCCCAACTAGAATCAAGTTAATCAAAAAGGCTGGTTCAGGCACCTGTCCAATCTTTCCGGGTAAAGTTATTTGAGTGCGACCAATGGAGCTTTATTGGGCAACAAGCGCCGTCCGGAGAGTTGTCCGCGAACAACAAATGAAGGGCGACCCGGCGTGCCTGCACCAGTCTGAAGATATTAGCATCGCGCCGTTGTATCGGTGTGATTTATTTTTTGTGTTCCATTCTAGTAATTTTTGTACACGTTACTTGAAAAACGAAATCGATTACAATTACAATTAATCTTACTTAAAAAAGTATTTAATTATACTCGGTGCCACTAGATGTGTGCAGTGCAGGCGAAGGCAACGCCTGGCGAAGAGAAAAAAGTGGCGAGCACTAGGAAGGCGGGATGGGAGAGGAGGACGATGGAGGGCGAGGGAATTGGAGAGCACTAGGAACGTTAGAGAGGAGAGGAGGTTTTTGTCTTCTGCTTCAGCCTTTCTAGGGCTTGCCCTTTCTACCTTCAACGGCATTGCCACCGCCTGTAATGGGCTCAACTAGTGACACCGAGTATAGATGACTTGATCACCCGAGACTAAAAGTAATTGTTACTTCTCCAATTACCTCAAATTTTTGAAACGGCAGTGTTTACTCATGATCTGAGCCCTGAGACAAGGATAAATAAAATAACGGATAAGATATTATTTATTCCTGTCTCAGGGTTTAGCTTATATAACCAGCTCACCTGCACTTTTTGCTCGTTTCAGTGTTTCCTGCCGGTTTAAAAACAAGTATTTTACACTATGTTTTATAATATTATAATCAGCGAATTACGAGCTACTTATCTTTTTCACCCACCAGTGACCACGGGATCCTTAGTAAGCGCGACGCAGTCGGATCGACACTACTTAAGGACCAACGTCATTCGATCAACTCCGTCACGCAACTGATCATAGACGCCGCTTTCAGGAGTAGTACCTCCACTCCCACCCAAGGTTCGCCTCCCGTCGTTCAACGTGCCACCGGGGTTTTTAGGGGATGGTAACTAGTACTATAGGGTTGATCTAATAAACTTGCGAGAAAATGAAAAAGGCCCGCTTACTCTCCCTTAAGACACAACATTAAGAGTTCGATCGACCAACACCTCCTAGATAAGAAAGTAGCATAGTGCCGAATTTTCCTGCGTCCCCAAAAGGCCAACACATTGGGCATGATTGCCGCGTCAGCGTTTGGCTGTGACTTGTGTAGGCAATGGCGAAGATTCAGCAAGTAGTCATCTGGCCGCCGCCAAGTCTCTGCTCGTGCGGGCAAGTGCGTCCAATTACAAGCTTGCTATAGCTAAGTTCACGCACACGCTGCACATGCTTTTGCACGCATGGGCACACTTGAGGCGTCGGCCATAGCTGTGTGCGCGACTCGTGAGCGGAAGCTGTTGACGAGCTTCTACAGTTCTTTTGCAACGTGCATTCCACACAGTCAAGATTGGTGCTCTTAGCAGCCTAATATTGTGAGCTTATTCTGAACATGCGCTCTAAACAGCGCACTCGAATATGGCGTCCAGTGACAGGTTAAAGGGTTACTGAACCAAAGAATTTAGTGTCCATAATAAGTGGCGCACGTTCTTTCCACGAGTCAGCAGCCGCCAATGAGCGCGAGCACACGCAACGAAAATAACGTCAAAGACCCCCATTCGCGCTTAAGAGGACAGTGAAATGCATGGGCTTCGGGCCCAAGGAGAATAAAGACAGGCTTTTTATCTCTACAAGTGAAAGCTACGTGCTTGTTAGACCAGTTTATAGCTTACCTTTTACACCAGACACCACTGTGTAGATAAAAAAACTTGTCTTGATTCTCCTTTGGCCCGAACCCCATACATTTCCCTGTCATCTTAACCGCGAATGGAGGTCCCTGACGTCATTTTTGTTGCCTGTGCTCGCGCACACCGGCGGCTGCTGGCTCGTGGAAAGAACGTGCGCCACTTATTGTGGACACTAAATTCCTTAATTCGGTATCCCTTTAAGACCGCAGTAGATGCTTCGTCTTTAGCGCCAGCTTTCTGCCTCTGATAGCACGCGCAGTCAAAGCCCAGCGGAAGGCAGTGAGTCCGTACTGGAGACGGATCAATAAGGAGTATTCACTGGACACCATATTTGTGGGGGCTGTCTAGAGCGCATGCTCAGAAAAAGCCCACATCAATAGGTTGCTAAGACCGGCAATCTTGATGGTCTGGAATGCACGTTCCAAAAGAACCGTGGAAGCTCGCAGCTAGCGCACACAGCTATGGCCGCCAGTGAATACTTCCTATAACTTAATTCTTAGCCTGTCATCGACCACGGGCGACGTGCGCAACCAAGGGCGTCACTGCGGACGCGTCCTTCCAGGGTTGGTGAAAAGCTGAATTCGTCTTTTTTTGACGGTATTAAGAGGAACGCCAGACTCGACTTTGACGATGTTAGTTTAGGCCAGGGAAGCGATGACCTCAAGCTTCCAGCCTGCAGTTTTGTAATCACATTATCAAAATCGTCGCTGGCAATCTATAATCCTCCTCGTGGCGTCGCGGATCAAGGAACCGCAAGAGGGAGCCACCGAAACAGGTCATCGCCGATATGAGGTGTTGGTCCGATCGCAGGCGGCATGACTGTCGATTCTCTTCCACTCACGCCTATCGCATTCGCGTGACCTTATCGGCGTGGCCAATATTGGAAGCTTTTGTAGACCGTTTCCGCCGTCTCGTAGCGCCCTCCGGAACCCGCTACACGAGATTCGGAACCTCGCAGGCAATGCTATAGCGTCGCACATGCTCGGTAACGGCGTCTTCGTTCCAGAATGCGTAGCCGAAAGGAGGAGACGGTCCACGAAAATTCCCAAAAGCCAGCAGTCTTCAGCCACACCGTTAAGTTTAGTATCGTGGAGAGGGAATGGCGCCAAGGTTTTGTCTCTAAGTAATGTTGGTCAGATGGGCTCACGATGAATCGCTTTCCGCGCCCCTTGCGGACGCTTCCGTCGTTTACGGAAGGGGGAGTTCCGCCGCATTACTGCGTAATGTCTGGCCGCACCAATAAGGCAACAAAAAAAAACAAAAAAAGGGGGGGGGGGGGAGTGCAAGATTGCAGCGTAAATCCACTGTGCGAGGTTCGTTTCGTGGCGGATTCCAAGTGCACAAGACGACCAGCACAATGACCATGCACTTTTGACGATTCCTGATTGGCTAAATCAGACCGTAGCTTCGGTTTCGGTCGGACTTTAAGTGAAACGGTCCACGGAGTATACAGGCTGTTTCTTTTTAAGCTTAACAAATTTGTTAACAAAACAAACAAACAAAAAAAAAACTTTAAATGCTACATTAATGCGGTTTGTGCAGGTGAGTTATACGGACAGGGGGAGATAGTATAGGGTTTTTATCGTCACAATCAGTCAAATAATTGGTAAACCTTTTTAATTAGTGAAAATAGACGTATGAATTAATTGGAAACTTGATGAACGTCATCGATAACCACTAAATCAGTATTTAAAAAAATGACTTAGCGCATGGGAAGCGCAGTAGCGCGCTAAAGTTACCCCTCGTGCAACAGTCACGAAGCTAAAGCTATGATAAAAGACGAAAAAAAAAAAAAAAAACGCGAGGGAGCGTTATCGCACCGATTAGCCTTGCTCCTGCCGCACCAGGGGTAACTGTAGCGCTCCACCGTGCTTGCCACGTACTAATATTGATTCTCTCTCTAATATCGACTAATTTTCGATGACTCTCAGCGAGTTCCTAATTAGAACCATATATTTATTTTTCAACAATTTAAGCGTTAATTTACACATTTTAGTTCATTTGCCGTCTGATCGTTAAGCTATGCTCCCTGTACTACGTCCTCCTCGCCGTGTAACTCACCTGCACAAACAGCATTAGTGTATCTTTACAACATTTTTTAAACAAACCTGTTAAGCTTAAAACGAAAGACCCTGCGTAGTTGATCGTATTCGCAATCCGGTTGTTTGTGGAGGGTACAGCACTCGTCTGGCTTTCAAAGCCCCTCACCGAGCATCCTGTGGACGGGTCTCCGATGGTTCCTGGACTGTCCTGGCCCGGGCTGCCTCCTGAGCCTGAGCCCGATCTTGAGGTAGAGCACCACGATGACGGTCATGGGAAGGCAGAAGAAGGCGAAGGTGGAGCACTGGAGCAGCGGCAGGCTCACGGCCGTCGTGTCCATGGGCAGCGCGCAGAAGGCCGACTCCGGCAGGGCGCGCCCTGAGCCCACGGGGAAGTCCACGAAGTTGACGCGGGTGTAGATCGCGAACGGTACCGCGCTCACCAGAGACACCACCTGCCAGAGAAAGATGGAGCAAATGTTTATTTAAAACATAAGCATTCATACGACCGAAATCTCATAATACCATTTTTGAATGTAGCTTCACCAGCGGACTTTTCAAATTCAAATTCTCCAAGACAGTCTCCTTTATATTATACACGTATTAGTATCTAAAAAAAAAAAAAGAAAAGAAAAGAGGGACGTTTACAAATTTCCGTAAAAACTAGAGCGCAGCTCTTGAGGAGGAGGAGGAGAGGGGGGTACGTAGGAAAGGGCACGCCCTTCCTCCTCCCCTTTCCCCCTCCTCAAAAACAAAGGAATGATTCCACAAAGATTTGCTGCTGCGTTTATTTCTTGAAATAACAAAAGGAAATAATCAAATGCATGGTATTGTCCATAAGAGTACTACAATTTTCTTAGGATGTAGTCGACCGTGGCTCAAGAGTAGAGGATTACTGCTTCAAATTAAGTTTACGGACCGTTTTATTTTTTTAAAAAAGCTACCCGACAAAATCTTGCAGTACAAGTAACTGCGCTGTTCACCCCTGTGAAAGTTGGGACGCCTTTAGCTTTGTTAGCTTTAGTCATGAAAACGAAGGGCCAGTTAATAAGTAAACGTCTATTTGCTACGGCGTTTATTGATTAAAAAAAAACAACAACAACAAAACAGTCAGATGTACGATAATGTCTACAAGGCCATCATCAAGATTTTTTTACGGCTGGCCACAACTCCAGCAAGAAGTATAACTCCTGGTAGGTCAGCTGACAGTTTTGAAACAGCGCCACCAATAAAATCTTGGTATGGAAAAGAACTAAACTTTGCCAATCACTACTTTCGGAAGCTGGGGTGCCTTTTTGTGCAGTTCCCTTCGTCGAATCGTTCAATGAAGGAATTACGATTTGTTACGGCGTTTGGTAAAATCAATAAACGGGAACAACCAAATGCTCTATTTTGTCCATGTACCGGGACTTTCTTATCGCCGACCACGACGAAAGCTAGAAGCGTGGTTTAGCGAGACTTGTCGGGCTAGTTGGGTCATGGTACCAAGTATACTTGTACGCGGAAACACAAAGGACGAACGCGAAGGGGTGTACAAGGACAAGGGCGTGTCCTTGTTCCTGTCCACTCCGTGTCCGTCCTCCGTGTTGTTGGCGCATACAAGTTTACTCATTAAGCGAGAAGGATCACTGCTTCCATGGTAGGTCCACATACAGTTTTCAAACAAAGGAACCAATAAAAACTCAGTGTACAATGGACTGCGCAGCTCACCCATATAATGGCGATGATGCGCACGGCCCTGGTGAGGCTGGACGTGGTCTGCAGGAAGAGGGGGTGGTAGATGGCCACGTAGCGCTCCGCGGTGAACGCCACGATGGTGAGCACCGAGGCGTACGAGGTAGCTTCGGCCACCAGCGCTCGCAGGCGGCACAGGGTCTCGCCCAGGCGCCAGGGATACTGCTGCCAGTACAGCTTGAGGTCATTCGGAAGACCTGCGGGATTACAGAGAGGGAACGACAAAAGGTCATCACGAGTTGCGCCGTGCCCGCGCGTCTGGTTCTTTGTCTCCCCGTCAAACGCGCGGTCCCGCTGCTTATACATCGCACAAAATACAGTCTGAAGATAGGCACCGTCTGAGGCTCCTACTTGGAGGACGATCCTGCCACATTGCGGACATGTTCGAATCACGCATATGAATAAAGAAACCCTGCGCTTGTGGGGTGTCTGCGGATACTTTTGTCATAATGTTTGCAGTGAAACTCCGTGTCTTTTGTATGGTGTATGAGAAGTATGACACCGGCCCGATAGGGCGAGTCAATCGCTTGCCCAATGAGAGCGAGCGAGACGGGCGGGAGAGAGAGATAAATTCTTTATTATGGAGATGTTGGTATTCCTTAAATGACACCGGCTACTCCATAACGAGAAAGAGAGAGAAAATATATATGAATAAAAGGAAGAACATAAAAGGAAAAGAATAAAGATAAAACACATAAAGTAAAACCGTAAAAAAGACATACAAACAAATCTAATTACAATTGCGAATAAGACGACCGTTTGGGAGTCGTGCACCGATTTGCTAAATTACATACATAGTCATTCCCGTTGAAATTGACGCACGTTCGCACTTAATAATCATACACGATTCTAGTGTCCTTTAGAAAGTCATGAATGATACTCATTGCTCTGTCTTGTTTTTTTACGCGTCGGCCAGGGCCCCAACAACTTGGTCAGAGACAGGGGTCTATCATCTAATATCTGAAGGCGAATCTCCATCCGGCGCCTTTCATGTTGGAAGCGTTCACAGTCAAGGAGGATATGTTGTACATCCTGATATGGTTCTCCACAGTCACACCTTGGCGAATCTCGGCGTTTAATTCGAAATAAAAAGCTGTTAGTAAAGGCCACTTCAAGTCTCAGTCGATGGATTAATGCGTCGTATTTTCTTTTCATCCCGGTGTGCGGCGGAAGCTCAAAATCCGGGTCGATATATGGTAGGAGAGTCTCTGCTGAAGTGTCCTTTAGCCAGCACTGCCGACAACGTAGATGGCGTAAGTGACGAAGGATGAATTTCGCATCTCCAGAGGTAAAGGATGTCGCTTCCATTGCGTCACCATCGTGAGCTTGAGCTGCCAGGTGATCAGTCTCTTCATTTCCGGAGATTTGGCAGTGGCTCGGTATCCCTTGTAGCCTGACGTTATGTCCGTGGAGTCGAGCTTGTGCTAACGTGAGTTGCACCCGATATAGAATGGTCGCCTGGGAAGTATGTATAATGGCGGAGTAAAAAGTAGCTCCGTCTCTACAGGAGCCACTAAACCAACTACGATGCGTAGTAGCGACACCTCTGTCATCTCTATGCTTTAAAGGAATGGTTGCCAGTTGAAAAAGGTTTCTCTAAAATCGCAGGAAACGGTTTTTCGTCCTTTGGAAATCTTAAAACAGTCCGCGATGTCGCCTTAGTTTCCAGTAACCGTATCCAGAGCTCGGGAAGTCGCGTTTTTCAAATTGTACCCATCGCCAATTTCGCCCCCTTTGCGCAAGGCACCAAAAATAACTGCGCCCGCGAGGAAATCGGGGAATGAATTGCCAATATCTTAAGCGCAACTTATGCGCAGACCAAGTTCGTCTGCTTCTTGCCCAGGGTTTGAGATGATGTCAGAACGCCTATATTTTATTGACTAATTGAATAAAAAAGAGTGGGTATACCTCAAGGCGCTTAGCATTGAGGTCTACCTGCTATTCTTCCAATCAAAGCCAATCAGAACAAGGCGTCGTCCTGACGCCACCACAAGCCCTGCAAAAGAAGCAGACGACCTTGCTCTCCGCATGGCTCAATAGTCTCCATGCGGAGAGCAAGGTCGTCCGCTTTTTGTGCAGGGGTTGCGCTGATGTCAGAACAACGCCTAGTTCTGATTGGCTTTGATTGGAAGAATAGCAGGTAGACCTCAATGCTAAGTGCCTTGAGGTATACCCACTATCCTTCTAATCAGAGCTCGACGTTCTGGCGTCACTGCAACCCATGCGCAAGACGCATACGATCTTGCGCTGCGGATATGATACATAGCACCTTGGATCTTTATGAGAGGTAGATTTAAACAAATCACATGTGGTAGCAAACTCCGTGAGATGACACAGTCACAACTTGCCCAAACGCCGCGTTTACCTTGAACCAGGCTTCCACCCGATAGAAGCGAAGATTGCCCACGCAAATCCCATAAAAAAAAAAAAAAAAATCTTCTGTTTACGTAGTGCCGCTTGCGGGAAATGGGAGCAAGGATCACAAAATCTGGTCATGGCGTTCTTTCAGGTTCTAACGGTCGTTCTCCATTTGTCCAATGTATAGCCTATAAAGCTGCTTCACGCGATATCAATTTTGACCAAACTATTTCGCAAAACGAACCAACAAGCAAACAAGACCGCAAATGCTGCCGACTGCGTTCATGGCAAAACTCAGGAGGAAAAACATGTTCTGATTCCGGAAATGAAAATATAGAAGCTAAGAAATAAATAGTGGAACACAATAAAATTTATATTTCCTAAATACGGGCGCATGGACTCACCAACTCAACTTTTCAAAAAAGCTCGTATTTTCAACCCTAGCTAACGGTGCAAAAATCATTAAACATCAGGTTCTTTTGCCTCTTATTAAAAAATGCTGAAACCACCCAATCTAAGAATGTTTTTTTTTTTTTATTCTAAAGCTCACCAGACACAAACAAAACAAAACGTTGTCTGAATAAACTTCTAAAAATGATTAAAAATGTTTCCGATATTGATTTTTTCTTTTAGTCATTAAAACGTGCGACCGACTTGTTCATACCATTACTAACAGCATCGTCTGCGCGTCATTACGAACCCAGTTAAATATTATGTCATATAGAGTTTTGTAATTTACGATGGCTCAATTTACCCGTGCTTCTATTATTCGTGTTTTATAGTGATGCCCTATTTGGGAGAGCTTAATCTACGCGTACTTCGTTATATATTTTTTACATTATTGTCAGGGTTATGATTTATAATTTATACCGTGTAATATTGTTCACTGCCATTCTGTATCTCTATGCTCTGAGGAGGAAGTGTCGATAAAGATGAATAGGTTTTAGTGTTCATTTCTGCTTTAAATCTCTCTTTAAAATTAGCCGTTTGTTAGCAACAAAAATCACGCTTTTTCTGAGGCCTTGTGAATAACCTCGTTGAGTTTTGACAGCAAATTATGTTCCCTCCTAACCAAGCCTATTAAGGACATGCTCGGAGAGTATTAAAAGTGCGCCGGGATTAGTGTAATAAAGAATGTTATTAGACCCTTTCCGGAATTCAGTGCCATCTGGTGACTCAAATGGCGGTTAATCTTTTACTATACTAATGGCGGCAATGAACCTGTGGTCTGCAGTATTTAATGGGGCACCATCACTTAAAGGAGCTGTGCAACGATATTCAATTGGAATGTTTTTCTCTCTACACGAGCTTACTGGCACACCTGGGACTCAAGGATACTCACGCGCAACGCCATTGGCCAAGAAACTCCTTTGTTGCGGTGTAATTTCAAGGACAAAAGCGATCATTTTCATTCAATCTCTCCTTTGGAAAATTTGATGACGTAACTCGGGGATCGCAGTACACCCAAGTGACGATATTTGAATGCGGTTCATAGATTGGACCCGAGCATTGCGTGGGCACTCGACTTGGGCTCGTGACACTTGCTAGCTCGAGAAGCATTCGGGTAGTGACCCGTGTCCAATCGCTGCAACGACAACAGCCGAGCCATAACAATGTCTGGAACTCAGCGCATGTCCTGCGCTTTGCCAACCCCAGCGCGTGGCTATGATCAACACTGGCGGCATATAATCGGCTCCAGATCACGTGGAAGCTTGTTCTGGCTGCGAGTTGAGGGAGTGAACGCTGCTCGTTTTTCTTAAATTTGTTTCTGGGACTTCTATTGCGTGGGGTGAAAAACGAACGCGTGTTTCATAGGTCATTAACGTTAGGGATCCGTTTTAAGCGGTATTTGTGCACAGTACAAAAATTGTTGCATCGCTCCTTTAAAAGTCAACGGTAAACGGGAATGTGCACTTCACTACAATTATTTTCAATCTCTTTTAGTGTCAATGGCGAAACAAATGCAGCCAGTCGGAACGAAGCGCCAACCCACATAGACGCCTTGATAGAGTTCTTTACATCAAGGGGCTTTGAGGCCGAGTGAGTGCTACTAACAGATTGACTGGGACCGAGTTAGAAACGAACGCTTACGCAGCTCTTACGTCCAATTCCTGCTTCACGCCGCGCTAACATCGAGAATGTATAGGCCTCGAATCATCTGCTTAGGAGAATCTTCAACTTCTTCCTTCATGAATCATCAGTAAACAGAAGGCCGCCATTAGTATAGCACATATGCCGTTTTCAGATGATGATGATAGTGATCAAAGTGGCCAGACTGAATTCCGGAAAGGGTCTATTACACCTCTTTCCAGCGGAAGCATTGCTCGCTAAATTCAGCGGAAAAATGATGTGCGTTTCATCTGTGACGTTATAACTGTCACATGCACGTAGCGTCTTCAAAATCACACCCCCTTAAGAAAAGTGTACAGGCTGTTACTTCGTACGCTCAGCAGATTTATTTAGAAACATGCCGGGAGAGCTCCCCTAATGTGGCGTTTGCAGGTGAGTTATACCGCCAGGGGAACAGTGCATAGGGGGCTGATCGTAACGATCAGACGGGTAATTAACTAAAATATGTTAATTTATGTTTTAATCATCGAAAAGTAAACATGGTCTTAATTAGGAACTTGCTGAGCGTCATCGAAAACCTCTAAATCAGTCAATATTAGAAATACTTGGAGCACGTGGGAAGCATGGTGGAGCGCTAAAGCAGTGTTGGACAAAATACTCGATAAACGTATTTAAGTTAAGTTACTAAATACCCGCTTCATGAAGTATTTAAAATACTACTCAAGTTACTTTCACTGTAAAGTATCTTGTGTAGAGAACGAATACCTAG